TCCTCCCATAATGTAGTATGTTTATTATACCATAGGAACATCAAATCTTTAATGAAAATACACTTACGTAGCAGCCAGTCCACATTAAACCCTCATGCTCTCAAATGAGGATATGTGTATGTAAGTTGGGTGTACAGCTGAGTCCACAGGTGTACCAAGATGGCCGCCACGCCCTGATGAAGTCACGTGATATTGTGACGTAACGCGTCGGCGTAGCGCGGTGACGTATTTCCGGCGTGGCGGCCATCTTGGTACACCTGTGGACTCAGCTGTACACCCAACTTACATACACATATCCTCATTTGAGAGCATGAGGGTTTAATGTGGACTGGCTGCTACGTAAGTGTATTTTCATTAAAGATTTGATGTTCCTATGGTATAATAAACATACTACATTATGGGAGGATCCTTTTGTTTTGTTCTCTGGGAAAGTGATATTTCATCTATACCTGGAGAAGAGCTGAGTGGGAATATTATATCCTGAGAAGTGGTTTTGGACTGCTTTGGTGCCTGGAGGATCTGTGAGAGGGATCCATACTGCTCTTTGACCCGCAAGGGTCGAAGAGATGAGGTGAGAGGCTAATCCAGAAGGTGGTTGGATTCACAAGCTATCTACACCCAGATACCTGCACGTTTTTGTTTCACCTGTGGTCACTTTACAGCCTATTGGAAACACAGTTTACCAAAAAATTTTTTTCACCTTTAATATTCCATTATTGGACTTTTTTTTTTTTTTTTTTTCACCTTTAATATTCCATTATTGGACTTTGAGTTTGTGTGTATTATTTAGATGTAACTTCACTTCCATTTTTGCACGTGTGATGTAATATATGTATGTGCATTTTCTTGCACATGCGTATTGATTTAAGTTTGTGTTTTGCCATCATTTTTGTGTTATCACTAAGCACATTTCTTATTATATTTATTATTGCTATTTATTTGAGATAGAATTCCACATTCACTTTAATTAGTTTGAATGTAGCGCAGCATTTTTATGGTTTATATTCACTTGATCATTGGTATATGATTTAATGTTAGCAGCTGTTTGGGGTTCATTTATTATTTTAATTTGTTTTAACACACATTTTGGAGCGCAGGAGGGTCACACCATTATCATTTTGTGGTGCCATGTCATTTGTATGGAAATTATTAATAATAACAAAAAAACAAACAAACAGTAAAATAGATTCCCTGCAGCCGGGAACAGCAACATGTCCCTCAGCAACGATAGATCTCAAGCCAGTAATAATAGACCCCTCCCTCAGAAATAGATCCCTCCCAACAACAATTGACCCCCACATAATCATAAGACCCCCGGTAACAATAGATCCCCCACTAGCAAAATATAAACCCCAGCAACAATAGATTCCCTCCAGCAACAATAGAGCCCCAGCAGCCAGCATCAATAGACCCTCCAGCACACCCCAGCACCCCTTGCAATTATATACTTTCAGTGCTGGAAGTACGTTCCCCCACGTTCCCACTGAAAAAAGCCCTGATTACAAGCAATGGAATATCTGTCTACAACTCACAATAGGAATGCCTATGATTTTAACTCAATAACACAAAAAGTCCAGCAATACATTAATAGCTTATAAAGTGTTAATAAAACCCAGGACCCTGCATTCACTATATCTGGTCTCTCACACACAGCGTGTGTGGTACACACAGCATAGAAATACAATTGTTTTAGTACTTATAAACTGCTAAATACTTTTTCTTATTAGCAGTATATATCAGTCTTGTGACTTCGATCAGTGTCCAACTGAGCACTAGTTAAAACTTGTAGGAAGAGTTTCCATTCTCCTCTGCCTGTCCTATGAGACTCTATTACCACTGACCCTCTGTCTGGTCAGTGCTGATTGGCCCTGTGCAGACCACACATGCACCCTCCCCCCCCCAAAAAAAAAAAACCCTCTCTAGCAATACACACCAGACTGAGCATGTGCAAAGTGCCTCCTAGAGCTCTGTATTATCAGCAGATGGATTGGGGACTGTGAAAGAAGGGGAGGATCAGAGAAGCAGGATAAAACAGCCTAAGACAAGATTAACCCCTTAGGTTCCACAGTGGGTATAACAAGCATGCTTTACTGCATATACAGACTGATTTTACTGTTGTGGGTTTAGTAACACTTTAACCACTATCTAATATATAAAATGTAAGATAACCATCAAACCCCAGAGACAGGTACTAAGGAATACTCTACATACAAGATAAACAAAGTATACATAAAAGATATAACAGACTGGTAAACCCGGAAGATGTTTAAAAACCACCACCATCAGGCACATACACATGGTCCAAGGAACAGGAAATGAAGCCATCAAATGAATTTAGTCACTTTCCAATTTATTTTAAAATTGTAGCCCTCATTAAAATAGTACCTGGTAATCCTGCCATGAAGGTCCTTGATCAGGCATTTCTCTGCTACTGGGTGATAACTACATTCCTTCTCTGCCAATTGCTCCCCTGTGTTGCCAGCCTGTGACATTGACTACAATAGAAAAGACTCTGCTCATGGATAAGACATATTTCTAATTTGTTCTCATCATAAAGCCTGTCTAGAGCAACAAGATACAGCAGCTGGTGAAGACATTAGAAATAAATTAAGTGAGTGCTAAAACAATCACAAGCAGCCAAAGCACCAAAAAGGCAAACCAAAAAACCTCCAGAATAATCAAGAAAATGGCGCTGGAATATCAAATAACAAAGTACAAATGTATATTCACACATAAATTGCACTACACTCAGATGTGGATATAAAGTGACAAAAGTGCAAATGTAAAGCTAAAAGGTGATATTGGTGAGCACTGACAATGTGCTGAGTGTTAATAACCATACATAGTACTGAAAGCAGTAAAGTGCTTAGAAGTGATGATCCATCTGAAGGGATCTCAGGTAAGTGCTTCTTACAACATCCTGGTGATGTGCCTTGAAATTGTTAGGAATGCACATTCACCAGATGCGCAACCTTTATGCGCATATGTATATATGTATATCTCAAAGATGTCTGCTGAAGATCTCCTTCAGAACCGGATCAACCTGGTCTGGTCACAAGCCGATAAGAATCCCCTTCCCCTGGGCAGTTTGCAGCACCTTAGGCCTCACTCCGGAATGGGCTCTGTACAGGTATGTGCTCACAAGGAACCAAAAAGAAGAAAGCCCATAGTGCAGTATTCCCAAGCAATATTTATTGAATGCAAGCTATACAACCAAGATAAAACACTGACCATGTGAGATGCTAAGATGGCCGCCGGATCTCCACATGGTCGCGGCGGCATGACGTCACTGCGCACGGCTCCATCCTCGATGAGTTTCATGCGGACGTGATCGGATGCTCCATTGCTCTCTATGGAGCGACGGGTGTAAACGGACATGTGTCCATTTATACCCGCCTCTATCCGATCTGATCCTGTCCGCTAAAAACAGACTGATGGTGATCCATTCCCCATCCATCTGGCTGATTGCATCGGATAGGTGGTCCATTTCCATCTGACAGCCCACAGAGGACAGTGGGCTGTGTCTGTCCTGCATAAGCGGAGCAGACATGGATCTGTCATCCTCCTGCTCAGTGGAGATCAGCGGGCAAATCCCTCGCTGAGCAAGTGGATCCGCTGACGTGTGAAAGGGGCCGTAAGGTTAATATTTACTCCAATGCAGGCAAATTGTGACAAACAATAGGGATACATGCTTTTCCTTTAGATTCCTGGAGTGAATACTTTTAGAAAAAAAAACTGCACACATTCTAGTGTATGTTTCTGTTTAGTTGTTTCTATTTGCCTGAAAGATGAATAAAAGAAACATATTTGTGGATTCCTTGCAGGCAGCCTGGATATAGCATGTACGGTTGAGTTTCATGTGTAGACATACGTAGAAGAAGCAGCTTGGTTGCAGTATAGATATACATTATTCCTTTTACTAGGTGCACACATTACATGTATCTCAGTTTATAGTAAATGTGGACTGTACATGTATAAGTGGAAACTTCCAACATCCAGAAGTAATGACTTCCTAAAAAACTCATTGTGCATAGAGTGTAAAAGTATTTTCTGTACTTATTTAGATTCCATTTCAGAGACCCTGGGTTGTAGTCATTAGGGGAGTGCTATAAATAGGTGCAATAAATCTGATTTATTCAACATAACTGACATGTTTTGACATGTGCATACAAATAACTTCCCTGCACCTTGTTGTCTGTACAGGAATTCTCTTTCTTCCCTGTGTGTTCCTCATACAAACTACAAATTTTAGCACTGACATACTGAAGGAACAATGTGAACAATAGCTTTGCTCTTTTACAAAAGAATTATTAAATTAACCATTTCAATGCCCATTACCTTTGTATGCCATTTTTTTATGTGTGACAATTTTCCAGTGAGCATTAAGGGTATTAAAAGAGATAAGGAATAGAGATTTTGTTAGGTAAACTGGAGGGGATTATGTTTCTGATCTGTACAATTTCCCAGAAGCTCATTAACCTCCCTAGCGGTCTGATTATGTCCATATTTCTGTGCTCAAAGCGGTACATTTTTTTGCATGGAAATATGTATTTTTTTTATTGTAGGCCTGTAATTTTTAGGAATAACTCACTGAAATCTGTCCGAACAAGAGTCTAGTACATATCCCGGGTATGATAAAACTTGAAACACGAAATTATAAATTATAATTTAATAAAAAAAATAATAATATAATAATAATACATTTAATTCAATAATATAATCAAACCAAAAAGACTGAAATTTGAAATAGAGCGCCAAGTTCGCACATCGCTGAGCAAAGTCGCAAAATCGTTTTCAGTGTCTGATGACGAATTTCCCCACGAATCATTATCACTCAATTCTGCAAGTGGTTCTGATTTACTATCACTGTTCTCTAGCTGGGCTAAAACCGATTTTGACCTAAAGGGGCGCTTTTTGGACGCCATGGACGTTTCTCAGTTTCCAGGCAATAAGAACAGTAAAAATGCAGGCAGGGTACAGGACAAAGCAGTAGGGACAAAATGTATGTGAAATGCTTTGATACAGTAATGTTTTACTATGTGATTTTAGTGAATGTCACTTTTTGTCATTTTTTAATTTCCCGCCGTTCCGTCCCCCGTATGTCCCGACGCTCGCAGGGGATGGAACCCAGAAGACAGATGCCGGCATCCGCCGGATTACATTGCGGGGACACTGCAGGAGGGACATCGTGGGAGCGCAGGACAAGGTAAGTGATGGGGGATCGCGGAGCAGCGCTGCAGGGTATTCCCGACTGTAGCTTGGGGTTACCGCTTTTGGTACTGAAACTTTACCCCGAGCTACACTCAGGAATACCGCCAGGAAGGTTAAAGTAAAAGTGGTTTGTATTTATACTGCCCATGTACTATAACCTAAAGAGAACCTGTACTTCATTTTGAACTTTTTAATAGTCCTAAAGTTGGCCATACACTTATAGATTTATGTTCAAGAATTTCCTTTTTAAGAACATTTATTTTCTAATCATTAGTGGGTCAAATTGATGTTCATTTTCAACAGCAGTGATGGAAAAATTCGAAGGGGCTCTCAATCAAACAAATTTTTGTCCAGTGTATGTGGTGATCGTTCAGAAAATACATTCATTTTAAAGTCGAATGTTAGAATTTTAATTTACTAAAAACCATATAAATAAGAGGTCAAACCTAAACAACACTTGCAATTGTATCCAACTAGGCAGACCCTTGCACTACATAGTTGAAGGTAAATCTAAAGGAAATTGGGCAGAAATTGAACAAAAAATTGTATAATGTATGGCCAGCCTTACACAAACACAATACACTATGGCTGGCCATACATTATACAATTTTTTTGAGAAATTTGCTTTAGATTTACCAAAAACCATATAATAGGAGGTCAAACCTAAACAACACTTTAAATTGTATCCAATTAGGCAGGCCCTTGCACTACATATTTGAAGGTAAAGCTAAAGGAAATTGGGCAGAAATTGGACAGAAAATTGTAAGAAAATTGTATAGTGTATGGCCAGCCTTAGACAAAAACAATACAAATACAATACACTATGGCTGGCCATATATTATACAATTTTCTTACAATTTTCTGTCCAATTTAGATTTACCTTAAACTATGTAGTGCAAGGGCCAGCCTAATTGGATACAATTGAAAGTATCATTTAGGTTTGACCTCATATTATGTTTACTGATAAATATAAAGCAATTTTCTAAAGAAAATTGTATAATGTATGGCCAGCCTAAATTGTCAAAAGTATTGGGATACCCCTCCAAATCATTGGATTCAGGTGTTCCAATCACCTCCATGGCCACAGGTGTATAAAATATACAACCATCAGTCTCTCTCCTCATGCCAGGGTACTAGGTGTAATCCTAGACTCCCATCTGTCCTTTCAGCCCCAAATCCAATCGCTGTCCAATCTTGTAGACTTCACCTCCGCAACATCTCCAAGATACGCCCGTTCTTAACCTCTGAAACTACTAAGCAACTTATTCACTCCCTGGTTATCTCTCGCCTTGACTGTTGTAACTCCCTTTTCATTGGCCTACCTCATCGCAGGCTATCCCCTCTTCAGTCTATCATGAATGCTGCTGCCAGACTCATCCACCTTACTAGCCGTTCTGTATCTGCCACCTGTCTCTGCCAATCCCTCCACTGGCTTCCTATTTCCCAATTAATACAATTCAAAGCATTAACAATAACATATAAAACCATTTATAACTCTTCCCCAAATTACGTCACCAATCTTGTCTCCAAATATCACCCAAACCGTCCTCTCCGCTCCTCCCATTACCTCCTGCTCTTTAGCTTCCTTGTCTCCTCCCCCCATGCTCATCTTCAGGACTTCTCTAGAGCCTCTCCCATCCTCTGGAACTCTCTACCCCAATCTATCAGACTATTACCTACTCTGCCCACTTTTAGGCTAGCTCTGAAAACCTATCTCTTCAGGGAAGCCTATCCTGCCTTCAGCTAATAACAAAATCTTCTATTCCTCCTACCAGTCCATCCCCCACAGTTATTACCTTTTGTACCACCAGCCACCTCCCTCCTAGATTGTAAGCTCCAAGGAGCAGAGCCCTCCTAACCCTCTTGTATTGAACTATATTGTTGCTGTATTGTCCATTTATATTGTAAAGCAAACTGTTGGCGCTAAATAAATCCTGTATAATAATAATAATAATAATAATAAAAAAAGCACCTAGTCATGCAGGCTGCTTCTACAAACATTTGTGAAAGAATGGTTCACTCTCAGGAGGTCAGTGAATTCAAGCGTGGTACCGTGATAGGTTGCCACCTGTGCAATAAGTCCATTCGTGAAATTTCCTTGTTACTAAATATTCCACAGTCAACTGTTAGTGGTTTTATAACAAAGTGGAAGCAACTGGGAACAACAGCAACTCAGCCATGAAGTGGTAAACCACGTAAAATGACGGAGCGGGGTCAGTGCATGTTGAAGCACACAGTGCACAGACGTTGCCAACTGTCTGCAGAGTCAATAACTAAAGACCTGCAAACTTCATGGATTAGCACAACAACAGTGTGTAGAGAGCTTCATTAAATGGGTTTCCATGGCTGAGCAGCTGCATCCAAGCCTTACATCACCAAGTGAAATGCAAAGCGTCAGATATAGTGGTGTAAAGCATCCCGCCACTGGACTCTAGAGCAGTGGAGACATGTTCTCTGGAGTGGCAAATCGTGTGCGTGTAAAGGCAGGTGTCCAAATACCCCAATTCTTTATATATACAGTAATACTATAACATTTATCCTAGGTTTCCTTGTGGATTTTCTGGCTGCATTTACACACAGAGAAGATAATTCTGTGCCCATCTCAGAATTTTTTTCTTTTTAATGGAGTCTAATGTTCCCTTACTGCATGCTTATGCCTTGCCAACTGGCATTCCTCTGGAAGAAAAAACACTTTCATTGGACAGGTAGCTATCAGTCCATGGCAGTACATTTTTGGCACATAGCAATGAACATAAAGGCCACAGCACAAGCAACATGATGTTTTAGAATTGCATTATCCCTGTATCAGCATCTTGCCTCAAGAAGTAAATGCTGACCCTGAATGATGCCTGAAAAAAGATGGTACATACCTCCTGGTCTCATTATATCAGAACCCTAGAATGTCAAAAGGGTTGAAGAGTTTACACAGTCAAGGCAGCACCAGAGGACAAGGACCCTCCAACAGCTCCTACGGGGGTAACACTACACACATATAAACATGGTTTTAGCTTGAATGCAAAGTGTACTTACCCAAGGAAGCAAATACAATTTATCTTTCAATGATACCAAAACTAAACTAACTGAATTTTGTTTTTTTTAGTATTCACCAGGGGCGGACTGACCACTGTCCGAAGTCCCAGGTTCAGTAGGGGGCCCCATGAGATGCCCCTGGTACCTTTTTCATAGGCTTTTTTGAGTTTAGGCAAGGACACAGGGCCCCATGATCCCCTATTGCCCGGGGCCCCATGAGTTGTCATTCCGCCCCTTAACTTTACTTTTTTCTCTTTTTCTATCCTTCTGTATAAACCTGTGAGCACTTCACAAGGACATCCATATGCAATGAATTTGTAAAAGTCTATTTACATTGTACTAGCTCAGTATGATACAAAGTCCCAGTGTATTCCAAATGCATGATCCATTGCATTTTATCATGACAATACTAACTACAGACTTTTCTGGAACTTTTCCAAGTGGTTCCTACCAAGCTGTCACTATATTGTCTGCCTCTCTGTTAACCCATAAAAAAGAGAAGATAGTAGGGAACTGACTTCCATGTCAGGACATTCCATGCATTTGTAGTAATGACGAATCCCAATAACTGCACCATGTGCCATTATGTGAATACTAATGAAAGCCAAGCCTTGCTTTAGAAGTTTATAAAAAGGAAATTTCATATTCTTTCCATGTATCATGATTGTAGAAAGTAGTGAAACTATTTTATGGCTTTTCTCACCTCACATAATACACTTTGTTTCAGAGAGTTAGATTAAGTACCTAAAGCTTTCAAAATGAATTTCAAATGTCTCCATAAATCTAATGGGGGCAAACACATTATGTTTCCATGCTTTTAATGAATTAATTGGCTGGCAGTTTTTGCACTTGCATAATGAATGGAAACACAGAGGAAAATGTATGTTCTTTATAAAAAGGGTATGTCTTCCAAAAACCTCACTTTTTCCAGAATTTGGGACAATGCTAGTGTATATCAGCTTGCATTACCTAATATCTATCTATCTATCTATCTATCTATCTATCTATCTTTAGTATTTATGATTGCAGTCTTTTCATAGGTTTTCATAGCGATTTATATCATAGGATCATATTTTCCTAGGGGTGGTTAATTAGAGTGATGTGTATATTGCAATATTGTTATGTACTCAATGTCTTAAATTACAATTTGGTGCATTTTTGTCTATGTTATCCTGAATATTAAAGTATTATATTTATTTATGGAATTGTTTAATCTACACTATTTATATAATTTAGACACCGTTTACAGGGTGCAAAGAATCAATTATATCCAGGGGGGACCTAGCTCTTCTGCTGCCTGAGACAAACACCAAAACCACATTCCTCCCAGCAATGCAAATAAACCCTGTGTAGAAAAAGGATCCGGAATCCCAACCTATAATAAAAGCCGACATACATAATAAGAATTGCTTCGCCAGAGAATTAGGAGAGGAGAGAAACAAGCTGTGGTGAAGCCACATTGGTTTGAATAGTTGACATGGCCTAAAGAGGACTGGTTACACAAAACCTGAACCTATTTACTATATTTTGCGCCAACATGAATCTTACAGTATCAACTAACCAGGGAGACTCAGAAGTGAATTCTAGTGTAGTTTTCAGGTTAGAATTAAAAGAGACATATTTTTGGGATATTTCTTGCAGGTGAAAAGACATTATGATCTAAGCCAATATTTTTGATGACAGTGGGATAAAATAGAAGCAATATGATTGACTTCATTGGAAGCAAATAAACTCAAATGATTGGTGTCAGTTGGATTAAGCTTTGGTTTTTATTGACTATCTACCTAAAAATATGTTTCCACACTGTTGCTCTTCCTCTGATGATTTCCGGGTTAAAAATAAGCCCCATATTTTTGGCAGCCATGTGAGCAAAACATGCCCTATCTTTGGTGTCAGTATGGGTACAATAAGACTGATTATTGGTGTCAGTATGATACATTCTTCATATAGATTTTGTGAGTGGGATAATCATCTTCCTGATAGTGTGTGACAGAATAACTGCATTGCCAGGGGCTGGAAACTCAGGGCATTCCAGTAACTGGCACCCTGCTGAAACTCACCATGCCTTCCACAGGGTTGCCCACACCCCCAATGCACCTATGGAACAATGCCTGATATTGCTCACCTGTTTAGGAAGGTCCTATTGTTTTTTTTTATTTTTTAGGAAATCACAATTATTAGATTTTTCCAACTATGCAATCCATCCATTCTATATTTACTGTATGATCTGCATAATGAACACCACCAGGATTATATTCAGGAGAATTGGGGACTGTAGGTTTACCTTGAAAGGCTCCTTTATGTAACATTGTGCTAAAAAACAATGAGAATTCCAAGTAATTCCATTATTAAAGAGAACCAGTTATAACCGGGCTTATAAATGGTTCTAATTATTAAATCATACATTCTTTTTAATAGAAAGAATAGCAATGATAAAAAAATCTAGTCGGATCAACTTGACTTTTTTAAATCTTACTTGCATGAAAGTATTTTTACAAAGTCCTTCGAATAGATAGAAATATATTTGGAATAGGTTGCTTGCCACTGGTCAGGTACTTGCTCATGTCCCATAATAAAGTGCTTGTTTTGTTCTATCGTCTCAGAATTAGCTGAATGACTAGGCCCATGTAAAGAGGTGCTTGTACAGAGAAGAACATGAACCCACAGTCCTCACATCTTATTTGCTATCCTATTATCAACTCTCAGCCACTCCTAGCTAACCCTGCTCACCTTAAAAATCAGCCCATCAAGTTGGCAGGTGTAACCAGCACAAACTGAAATAAACAAGGGTGGGGAAAACATAAAAGGGACCTCTCACCCGTTCAGGGGCGGACTGATCATTTTGAAACTCGGGCACTGCCCGAGGCCCGGGGTCAGTTGGGGGCCCCATGAGATGGCCCTGGTACCTTTTTCATAGGCTTTTTTGAGTTTGGGAAAGGACACAGGGGCATCATGATCCCCTATTGCCCGGGGGCCCCATGAGTTGTCAGTCCGCCCCTGCACCCGTTACATGTCAACTACCTGACCTCACAGGATGCACGATCAGAAGATAAGAAACATTATGTAAGGCCAAGTAAGTGACTGGCCAGCAGCTGTCAGTTTTCAGTAGACCTCCAATCCTCCAATTGCCTCAAAAGTGGAAACTCTCTTATATTTATCCTGAAAAGTTCCTTTTAACAGCTTATCTAAGCACTCTACCTGAAAGGGGCATATATCAAACATAGGACTTAAATTTGATGTTTATTGTACAATACACTAGTCTCTGGCATTAGTTTAAAAAAAAGTAATGACAGCCTTTGGCGTCTGAATAATGTAACGTTATTAATGGAATAATAACTCAAAGTTCTGATGCTTGAAATAATATAACACCATTTATTTTTTTTTTATCATCTTTAATGTCTTTAAATGTAACTTGCAAATTTCTGATGCATAGCAAACTTCAACACCCCCAGTGTCAGTTTATATTGCTCTATACCAACGTTTTGGAGAACATAACATCTGAAATATAGGTGAGGTCACAAACTGGCCGTCACTTGCCATTACATTTACTGTGATTTAGAGATCCAGCTCCACCTAGTGTCACCTGCTGACATGTGCCCTAGAGGAAGCTTAAAGCAGAAGCTTTATTAGGTACTGTAAGTGTGCATAAATAAATTCCTGACATAACACTATATATATATATATATATATATATATATATATATATATATATGTATGTGATATGTTAGAATAAAAGTGTTTGTAAATACAGTAAAAAATAAACACACACACACTGTATTTACACACGTGCCTTATTGCTAACATATCATATACATGTGCTATACAGTGTGTATATATATATATATATATATATATATATATTTTTTTTTTTTTTTCAAACACCTTTTGACATTACGAAGAATCTATGAGCTCCAGTGAAATAACAGTGCATTGGTAAAGTCTCTCAAGCTCTGTTTATGTAAAACCATGCTGAGAGAATGATGTCATCTGTGTCTGCTGTAGAAGGACTTTCAAACATTGTAAATTTCTGACATCTCACAAGGTGATAAGTAACAGCAGGAGATTGAGCTGTGTGAGACTGTGTACACACAACCAGGAACATCAGAGCTACCACAATGGCATTAATTTACATGATTGTTTCATCACTGGGCCAATACCTTAATCCAGGAATTAGATGCTGATACTGGCTGGTGCTTGAAGGGTTCAGAGAGTCACCGACCAAGCACGAAGTTTTGAGAATTTGTTTCTAGGATGAGATTGATTATGAAACATAGTTTTTTTCCTAATGTTGTAAAAGAAAACCGAGACTTTATTAAACCTGCCAAGCGAAAAGTA